GTACGGACTCGCTGATTCTGTACAGTGAATCGGCGAGTCACTGTGCAGAATCATCCGGTTCTCTCTAGAACCGGACGATTCCCGTTTTTTTCGCCGATTCGATCTGTCCATGGCGATTCCCGAGTCGAACCGGGCGAGTCCGGTTCGACTCGGCGTTTTTTTAAACACTGATTTTAATAATATCATTATTTTGGGTGAGATTTATATAGAGCCGAGGCTTTAAACAATCAAAGTAAAGCACACCTTCAAATAGTGACGAGAAATGTGGTTTCAATACTAGAAATCTTTGTCATAGGCTTAAAATATATTTTCATCCTTAATTATAAATTTAGAGCTTCAAAACTAGGGTAGATCGTAGATCAAAGAGATCTATGAAAACTTGAAAATCTTGAAAATTGACGGTCCAAAAATGCATTACAAGATGCACTATTTCCAAAACTTGAAATCCATTTTTTTCTCATGTTCTAGAGCCACGGCTCTATATAAACTTTTTCCTATTATTATTTATTACTATGTATATTATATTAACTTACCAATATATTATTGTTGATAAATTAAAATGGTGACTTCCATTATTAGTTGAATTGATTATTTTTATCATTGGTGACTTCCATTATTAGTTGAATTGATTATTCTCATCATTGCTAGTATGTATTATATATTCATAAATAAATAAATAAACATAATATACTGTATTATGTTCTATGGTATTACATCATATTATTATCAAATGAATAATATATTAAGATCATATATGAAAATAATAACTACAATGGCAACAACAATAATGTGAATCAAAGTTTGCTTCTGCATAGTCATGCTATTCATAATGCAGTTTTTTTTTTTTTGGCTTTGATATAGTCAGGTTTTGAGGTACTTTATGCTCAGCGATAATCTGGTTTTGGGGAGAAAAAAGTTGCCAAACAACTTTTTTTGTTAGATAACCTGAGTATGCAAACTCAGGTTTTGCATACTCAGGATCCAAACGACTCATTAGTTCTCTAACTTTCCAATGCAGATGTCACAAAGAAGTAGTTAATTTCTTTTTATTCCTTGGCAAGTCCTTCCTTTCAAGTACTTCAATACCCTAGTTCTAGATAATTAAAGTCCAACAGTTAGTTCCCAAATGTTAGTCTAAGAAGCTTGAGGATCTAAAACTTTCCCTTAACCCATCCCTAGCCCGAGTAAAGGAGGTAGCTAGCCAACATAAGACTTTGTTAAAACTTTCCATGAATCCTGAATAGTGGACCAGGATTCGTGTAGCCGACTCAAATAGTTGGGAAAAAGCTCTGATGATGATGATGAGTTAATTCCCAAAGGTCTTACCACAAATCAATGCACAAGCCATGAAATTTCTCTAGAAACTCATAGGAGAATAATCCCATCCAATGAAACGACAAAAATCCGAGTACACTAAAAAGATTGCGAGAATTTTCATAAGACTAATCTTCTATTTTTTTCTGATCCTTAGATGACATGGATGGCTCGTCTCATCCTTGTGGTCGAGATAATTTGAAACTCCCGAACTGATTCAGCCTTTCCAAGGACATTGCAATTCCTTTGTGAACTATGAGGATAATACGTAGGGTAAGTGTTGTTTTCATCTAGAGGCCATCTCCTATAAAAGCTAATTGACTATCGATCATCCAAAAAAAAAAAAAAGGGACAATCATGATGTAAGTTCTCCAGCATATAAAATAGTATAAGTCCAACATCCGAGATTGAAGGATTCAATAAAAAATGAACGTGCATGTTTGATTGCGCCCCCCACCACCCCCCAAAAAAAAAGTAGGATTCTGATGGACCCCTTTGCACAACCGTGCTTCATCTAGGTGCTCCAAATAAAAGTAAAAAAAATGGCTACAATATATGCTCTTTATCTTATAGAATATTTATCCAAAAACATAAAAAGGACTTGCAATAAGTATATTTTTCTCTTTCGGGTGGGTAACTGGTGGAACTGGAAACCTTGACCGTCCATTGCATATTCAGTACACTAACCATTGAGCCAAGAGTTTTGGTCCCTACCACACTCCCATTGCGAGTCATATGGTGAGTCCATAACAGGACAACAAAGAGCAGGGGCCTTTTAAGCAAAAATAAAGGTCAAAACTTCAGCGTCTAAACTTTAAAGATGTTTGGCTATGTTTTATTGTGCAAAGACACAAAACAGTCACATTGATCTCAACCAAAACCAGTACAAATATTTTCTAGTTTCTGTACTTCAAGGAAAAAGTTGTGTTATATAGCTCGCTAGTTTATCTCATATATAGTGCTTTAGTTTAAATGTCTTTGTTTACATTGCATCTTTTAAAGGCACTCCTTGCCTTCTGCAACTTGATCATTTTGACTCGTGCAATATTCAAAAGAAGGAAGTAGAAACCTCTACTTTCTTCATTCACTCGGTGTCAGAGCATATGCAGTTCCGTCGATTTTCCTTTTTCCTTTTTCTTTTGAATAACTTATCCAGGACCCTCCATTATCTAATGACTTGAGACATGAGTGGGCAACAGCAGTAATAGTATTGAAGTTGTGGATTGGTGCTTCTTTTTTTTTAAAATTGATTTTGTGGATTGGAGCTTCATAAACACATAGCTTTCAATTTGTAATCTAAGTGCAGGATTCATAATGTTTCAGTAATCTTAGTTTGTTCTAATTAAACACTACTTGTTTAATGTCTCTCAAGAAACTTCTCACTCTGAATACTCAAGGATCAAGGTTCCCGCTGTAATCATTCTGGTCAAAACTTTCAATATATTCGACTGACAACAAGTCCCTGGTAATGCAGATCTATAAAAACGACCCCTTTCTTCTTTAGAAAAGAAGTCAAGTTGGCCCTCTGGGTTTCTAGTAAAAAAATAAACATCTCAACACGTGAAATTTCCTAGGTCTGGCACAGGCATCTGTGAGAAATAATTCTTCATATTTTTTAAAACTATCAAAAATTTCTCTACTGAATCAATGCATGGCTCTTCCCTGGACATGAATATAATCCTTTTTCTGTACTAAATATGCATTTAGTGCTGTTAGAACAAAAAAGATTTAACTAGAAATAAAGATTTCATTGAGTGATGATCACAAAGAAATAATAGTCTTAAATCCCGTGACTGCTCTAGAGAACCCAAAAGAGCCTAGTGCACCACCCTCTGCATTTGTCTCTCTATAAGTATGTCAAGATGAAAAATCTATCATAGATAGCGGGAATATCTCATCAAAGTAGTCCATCTATCAGTATGGATTAACTATAAGAGCTAAGCAACACAACAAACAATAAGGACAATAGAGGACCAGAAAAAGAAGCCAAAAGAATCCTAGGTCACAGAATAATTTCAACCTGACTTAAAGAAATCCATAATGTGCATCTGTCCTAGTAAAGTCTCCTACACTGCTTGTCCCACAACATTGCACGGACTGATATAAGAGCTGAGCTTAAGGAACCTCCAGTATCTCCTCAGAATTCTTCCCTAGTAATCATTCAGAATTAGGTTTCCCGTAGTTCTTTCAAGACCTTCACCCTGTCATTCTCTAAGAAAGCTATAATTTGCACTTGCTCCAAACTCCCCAAGAAATCACCAAAGGGAATCTAAAAGAACCTGAACATGCAGCAGTTTACTGCGGTAAGGAGGAAAGGTCAGACCCCCAAGAAGATGCCCAATGTCTCCTGATCAGACTCCTACAAATTTATAATGGATAAAAGATGCGCACTGTCCCCTGGTCAACCCCACATACCACAAAAATTACCCAAAAAAAAAAAAACACTCCGCAATCCATAATTCCCTATTAAGGTCTTGTCCCTTATGCTCGGAAAAGAACATGCCAAGAAAAGAAATTACCTATGGAGTAGCAAGAACATGCCAGGAAAAGAACTAACCCTATGTATCGCGTTACACTCTCAAATCCAAACATGCATATTGAACAGCTCTTAACCTAGGTGGTTACTAGTTGATGTTAGCAATGCTACATCAAGTTTGATTCTTGGGTAGTGTTCACAGGGGTATTTTTAAATTTTAGTATTGTTTAGGGGTATTTTAGTCCTAAATGTTTTATTGTATCTCAAGTTAGTTTAAGGGTTTCATAGGCAGCTTATAAAAAGTTGGACGTCACATTTTGGAAGGCTTATGTTATTGTAATGAATTTTATCTTATGAAAGAAGAAAGTTCTTCTCTTGGCTTGATTTACAACCATGCATTTTCTCCATAATTGCTAATTTTTACTTGTTTGAGATTCATGAAAAATGTGGATTCAATTTCCCACCTTTCTTTCCTGCATCAAGTAGTATCAAATCTCGGTTCGAAGACGTTACAAATTGCGATGGCTGGTCATGGAGGTCTTAACCGTAGGGATGCCAATCTGATCCAATTGCGTAAGGAAATCAATAACTTGACGAAGAGGGTTACATAGTCATTGAACGTGTCGTAAAAGAAGATGAATCTACAAGGGCAGATCCAAATTGTGAGGTTTTTTATGGAGAATGGCATGCATCAGAGTCTGAGTCCGAGAGTATGACGCGTCAAACTACAAAGATGGGATTGATGCACGACGGCATCGACGAGAGCATTATTTTAAACAAGAATAAAAAGGCTCCGATCTTCTATTAGATTCAACATTCTTTGAATCATTGGATAGTCCTATCGTTGATAGTAATCCTACTTCTGATGAAGAACCAAGTGATCCTATCTTTGAGAGTGGTCCTATTTTAAATAAAAGAACTAGGTGATCCTATCTTTGATGGTGAAGATGAAGAGCTTGGAAATCCTATCTATGACGAAGAACAAGTTACAAGTGATGGTAATGGTGGCAATGATGGGTAATGATGTGCATAGTGGTGGTGAATAAGTCGAAGAGGAGGCAATGGGGGGCAACGACCGTAAAGAGCTCTTTTCTCTCGCTAATGATGGGGCGGACCTTTCCTATTTCCAATTCCAGGATTTTACCCCATAGTTGTACACTACTATAGTTGCTTACACCAAAACCTTTAGTAATTGGTGTGAGGATATTTTAATCAGGCTCATAACCCACGAGTCCTAAGATCAAGCCCCAATGTCAATGCGCAATATTCAGGTTGAGACAGGCCTTGTGTTCAAAGGAAGATTTGTATCAACTCACTTCAAAACTCGAGGGCGAGCTTTCTCCAACCAAGAGAGAATGATGAAGATCAACAGCTGTGCGATTCAAAAATTTTATTTCATTTTTTAAATTTTGTGGATGTGTTTGTACATTTCATTTTCTTATTAGGGTTAATTTTTTAGGAATTATATTGTGGGCGTAATCTCCACCTCTTCATTTCTACTTTTTATTTTTATTTTTTACCATTCACAAGTAATGTCCATAGTTACTATTCATGCATCACTGGTCACAGGGGTACTTATGGAATTTTAGTATTGTTTAGAGACATTTAAGAGTCTTAAATGTTTACTTGGATATCAAATTAATTTTCGGGTTTCATAGGCTTATAAAAGGTTGGATGTCACATTTTAGGAATTTTATATATTGGAATAAATATTATTCAATGAAACAACAAAGTTCTTTTTTATAGCCATGCCTTTTCTTTATAATTGTTGATTGTTACTGGTTTGAGGAAAAAGGTCTATTCAATTTCTCACCTTTCTTTCCTACATCATTGCATGTCATATATTACTAGGTCACCCATGATAATACATCACAGGCTATATAATACATATACCTTTTGGAAAAATCGGGTTAAAATTACTTTGTAACTTTTAAAAGAGGAAAACCAGCCTAAATTAAGAAGGGGGAAGGCAAGTTCTTTCTATGAGTCAAGAGAAGGGGTTATATGTGCTTTAGGTACAAAATATTCTTCTCCAGATTTGATACCTGGTATCGTTGAATCATTGATTGATGAGTTTAAGGCTATATAATACATATACCTTTTGGAAAAATCTGGTTAAAATTACTTTGCAACCTTTAAAAGAGGGAAACCAACTAAATTAAGAAGGGGGAAGGCGAGTTCTTTCTATGAGTCAAGAGAAGGGGTTATATGTGCTTTAGATACAAAAGATTCTTCTATAGATTTGGTACCTTGTATCGTTGAACCATTAATTGATGAGTTTAAGGATATTTTCATCATCAAAGCCTTTTCCCAACTATTTGGGGTAAGCTAGTGTAAGGATATTATGAGTTGCCCAAAGGTTTACAACCAACGAGAGATATCTGGCATTATACTGATTTAGTTCTTGATTCTATGCTCCCAAACTTGCCTTATTGTCATATGGGGCCAAAAGCGCACAAAGAATTGCATATGCAAGTTATTAATTTATTAAATGACGGACTAATTCAAGATAGTTTAAGTCCTTGTGTCGCCCTTGCCTCATTGGCACCTAAGAAGAATAGTTATTGGAAGATGTGTGATAGTTGGCCAATGAATAAGACAGCAGTCAAATGCTTCTTTTTGATCCCTTGTTTTGATGATATGTTAAATACACTAATGGGCTCTAAGATCTTCTCTAAGATGGATGAAAAGCGCGTATTTCGAATTAGGATCCATCCTAGGGATGAGAGGAGCACAACTTCCAAGACTCAAGAGGGTTTGTATTAGTGGTAGCTTATGCCATTTCGGTTATCTAATGCCCCAAATACTTTTATGAGGGTAATGAATCAGGTGCTTTATACCCTTATTAGGAAACTTGTCAATATGTATTTTTGATGATCGTCTTATTTATAATCCGACAAATGTTGAGCACTTGGATCATCTGAGAGACTGAGACAGGTAGTGAAGGCTGTTTGAAAGGATAAGCTGTTTGTGAATTTCAAGATGTGCTTGTGATATGTGCTGAAGGGGTCAAGATTGATTGTGTGAAGGTACAAGCAATTGTAGACTGGCCTACACCGAAAATCAGTGGGGCAGTAAGAAGTTTCCTTGCATTGGCCACTTTTTACAGAGGTATACTAAAAACTTCAGCACTATAATTGGCCCCATAACTAATTGTATAAGGAAATGGGTGCTTGAGTGCCAAAGAGAGTTTTAAACCTATTAAGGAGGACCAATGCCCTCTTTGGCACTCCCGGACTTTAAGAAGGTTTTCTAGGTGGGTGGTGAAGCTTCACATATGGGGATTGTGGTTGTTCTTTGCCAAGAGGGCAAGCTGGTTGCCTTTTTGAGTGAGAAGTAGAACGAGCTCACGCATGATACTCTTATTCCCCTCTCTTCCCATTCCTCTGCTCCAAGTTACAGTGTCAACTAACCCATCCACACCATTCTCCCACCCACTTTCTTTCTCAACAACTCACTCTCCCCAAGTTTGAAAACCAAAACACATAAAAATCAACAACTTTCTCACTCGCTCTCTTCTTCTCCTTGAAAGAACTCACCCCTCTCTCTCTCTCTCTCTCCGAAACAGCCCATTTGCTTGACCTTCAATCTGTTCCACCACTCTCCAAGACCCCCAAAACTTCAAAGAATGGGCTCAGAAACTCCCTCTCTCAATTGGGTTTGATTCTTCTCTCTCTAAATCCGACCAAGCAAAACCTAGATTTGCATGCAGAGTTGAGAAGGTTAGGGTCAGGGTTGCTGAAGAAAGAGAGATGAAGAGGAGAGTGAAGACTCTGGTGTTTTTAAAGAGAAAAGAGAGTCTTAAGGGTTAAGAAATTGAAAGTTGAAACTTCGGTTTTAAGGAGGAGAAGAAGAGGGAAAGGGGCGGTAGAGAGAGAGAGTGAGAGGGAAAGAGAGTTTCAGTTTTTTTCGAAATTTCAGCAAATTTCAATAAGTTTCAATTGTGGGTTAAATATGACAGCCAAACAACCCTCAACCATACATGAATTTCCTCAACCACAGATTGCTTGTAATGCTGTTTAGCACATGGCCATCTACATTTAGAAAAAAAAGTGAATTGATTTTCATTTGCAGCCAAACATAGCTTTAGGATATCATATTATTTACTGTATCAATGAAAGAAATCACATAGATATTTAGGAAACCCTGAATTACACAAGTATACCTGAGACGATGACGATTGCAGGTTGTTAAGAAAGCAACAAGCCCATTAACAATGCTTCGTACAGCACGAAACACCTGCAAGAGAGAAGTCAAAAAAATTTCATGCAATGAAAGAAAAAGATTTTAAGGTGGCAAGAGTATGATCCATACAAACCTGTGAGAAAAGATCATTCCAAAGTGAACGCCACATGGAAATTTCATACGTGCCAGGTGCTGCTTCCACAGCAGCAGTAAGCTGTGATATACCGCTTATCGAAAACCAAGCATCTCTCAATACATAAAAGATATTGGAGAAAAGCAAGGCCACATAACTTGCCAGTGTAAGTGTCAAGCGTATAGGTGCAATTAAGAATTCCCATAGTCCAAGAAATAATGGGTAGATTATTGATGTTGCTGTAAAAATATCAGACTGGTAAATAAAATGAAATAATGCATCACAGATTACATCATTTTCAAACAAAACGAAGGACATATGCACATGAAGAAAGTGAAGAATCATATAAATTTTATAATATAAAGAGATAACCAAAAACTTGGTCTCATACCTATGCTCGAGATAACAGATATGATAAACCATATTGGCCAGAGTAAAATCTCCAAAAGGTCCCCTACTATGTTGAATGTGGATTCCAAAACAATCCAAATGGCAGAACCAAAGTTCTCCACTGTCTGAATGCACAGCTTCCAGATAGGCAGAAGGTATTCAAAAATCACCATGAGGGGTTCAGACATGGGCTTCGTGACAACTGCAATCAATGATCTTAAAGCATGAGTGCTCACCATGAACCATTTAACAGCCTTTTCAAAGTTCTGGAGGAAAAGCATAGTCCCCAAGTACTTGATCCTAGATATCATTTCCCAAGTTTCAATCCAATCAAAGAAGGGCCCAAACAGATGAGCTGCAGTAGCCTTCACTAGTGGTACATTTTTATATAAATCATAAAATCCAATGACAACAGTTATAACTGAAATCATCACGTAAAAAGTCCTTGCAAGAGGTCGCATCCATGGACGATAGAGCTGGCAAAACACAGGATATGACTGACAGAATATAACCCAAGAAGGGAGTCCCGTCTCTAGTAAAGTAAGAAGCCTCACATCTGACATAATTATCCGACTCAATTCAAATGGAAGATCCCGATCACTGAATTTATACAGTAATAAGATGTCTCTATAGTGGGTGGGCTCTAAAGTTGAGTCACTTTTTAAGTTGCCAAAACTACTTCCATCAGAAGAACTGCCTAAATTCTCTCTGGGGCTTCCTTGCTCATAATATCTGTATTCTGTTAAAGCTATATCAATATCGGTCCCTGCAGTTCCACTTCTGGTTATTTTTCTTCGCTTGTAAGGACTAGAACTAGGAGTATATTCTAAATTTAGTCCCAATTCTAGATGAGTTGGGCTCTGCGTTCCTGCCATACCCCCACTATCCAAATCACCAAGAAGAGTTTCTTCGGTGCACACATGTCTTCCATCATCATCTAAATTCCCTAAGTTTGAAGAACACTCTTCAGCATCATAAAACACATACTGGTTGAAAGCTTCCGAAAATGGACCATCAAAATGTGAGTCTCCGTAACTACTACAAATACGAGACCTAAAAGGCATGATTTTATCGGACATCTCATTTAAATAATCTTTCAAAACACATGCTTCATGGAATGTTCCTGAAAACCAAGTAAATACACGAACTGAAGCTTGTTCAATACTATCAAATTCCCATTTTCGCATGTGTTTAACCTCCAGGGCAACAGATGTATCTGTCTGGAGCAATATAAACCATTACTATCATGTTTAATTTACGCAAATTACAAAAACTTCAAATGGTTTTTTAGGTACTCACTTGGAGCTCATTCAAATAGTTAATGCCCCGCACATCACCCCATGACACTTCAAACACTATAAAGCCATATAATGTTTGATGCAAATCTTTCACAGGCAACAAAGCTTTCTTCCGAGCAATTGCAGCGTCAACAACAGAAAACCATCTTAAGAGTTTCTTTTGCCTGCTATGGTTAGGTTTCGAGCCACTCTTTAAATCAAATTTTCTTCCATTCTCCTTTTTCTCGCGCCTTGCTCTAGTATTTGCAAACGGAGACAATCTTGACTGCAAACGACAATAAGATTCTATTGTTAATGAAATCAAGTAATTTCGTTAGACAGAAGCAGTAAAAGTTTCTCTTTTGAGTGTTACTTCACTACCTTGGTAACCATGAATTGCCAGAGATGTGTTGGACGAGAGTGCCGATTCATTAACCACGGCCTGTTGTCTACAAGAATAAAAAATTTCTTACTTTCAGGTGCCAAATACAAGCTGAGACTCGAAAGATAAGATTGCAGGTCCCTGCAAAAGAAAAACATAATTAAGAAACCTGAGTCTCCCACAGTGGAAAGGGTAGCTTAGATACGATGAATAAGAATCATGAGATCTTTTTTTACTTTAGATGACCAGATATAAAGAATTATTTGAGTCCCATATATCCATTCACCAAGTTGCATGGCTAAATAAACTCAGTGAATGAGTGAACTGTATAGAGAATAAAATAACTGCAGTCTACACCTTTCAGTGAACAACAGAATCACATTTTGCCAAATTAAATATCAATACTACTATTTTTAGCTAGTGGAAGGCACATAATGCGTTGATTACATATCTCAAATAAACCACAAAATTGATTAATTCATATCTAGAATATATTTTCCATGGTAACCGCAATCTAGAAAATTGCTATCAAACAGAGGTTTCTTCACACAAGAATATCAACTTAAAAAATCCATTTAAAAAACTAGATGATTCTTCTCTCCCTCTTTGGAATAAAATGGGTGGTGCAAACTCGATGAATATGAAATGTGGGAGATTCCTATAAATTGTACACTTTCTTGTTTCAAAATTAGAAGGACAGGGACCTCCTCCACATGGATTTGCTGAACTATGGTTCAAAGGCACTTCAAAGCTTAGTTACCAGGGCCTCCCAACATGGATAGTGACCCCACTCCAGAAACATGATCCCATGCTCCTAGAATGGGATCATGGTCTGGCCACGATCCAAATCCAATAAGGGTTGTTCAAAAGGTCAACATAGCTTGATTCTTCATATTTGTTGAGGAAAGAAGCAATAAATGCAGAGTCATATAAAAAAGAAGCAAAGCAATACATGCATATCAATAAAAAAAAGCAACAATTATTCAAATCCATGTTCCATTAAATTTTCTAAGGAAATGAGAATCTTAAATCCGCAACAATCATAAATAGAAATTTTTAAATTCAATGCTCCCAAATCCCATTTAATAGGGATGTAGCTTTATAAAGCTACACCCCAGATCTCGCAAAAACAAAAAACAGTTCCGGTACCAGAAACCTACAATTTTGACCACTTTGATCATCTGTCAAGTTGAATGGAGCGAATTATTTGCCATGATCCTAATCAGTTGGAATGTTTTTGCTTGGGAGATACAATATAGGTCATAGTTATGGCGATTCAAAATAATCTAGCTCAACAGACACAGGATATTATGGATAGCAGGCCAATGATGCTACTGTGAAGGCATGGCCTCTGACTTCAACGGAGACAGACATTAGGGATCCCACTCATGTTGATCGGCACAGGAAAAAAATTATGGGTTGCTGTAGAAGAACAGTTTCCTCAAGGAGATAATAGTGTAATTCTAGCTTTACAGAGCAATAGCCAATTGCAAGCAGAATGATCGTACAGTCGCTGCATATTATGGTACCTTATGTGGTATGTAGTAGCAGTTAAGTCACTGTGACCAGCCCCCAGGTAAGCGCGGTGCAGGGCTTGAAAAACATGTTAAGGCCTAGAAGAGACCAGCCTATGAGTTGTTAGCAAGTCTTAAAACAGAATATGAGACTGTAAGGAGCTAGATCCTTTGTCGAGAGAAATTACCTTCCCTCTATATTGGTCCCAAACTTTTGACGAGGGAAGAACAGACGAGGGGGATCATGGTATCCACTCGAGTAGTACATGAACATACTGCACTGCTCGCCAATAACAGAGGAACAGCTACTACTGGTCAAGAGAGGACAGGGCTGGTCCATACATGCAGGGAGCTTGGTTTGGGGGTTACAGTTTCCCTCAGGTTCTCGCTTTAACGAAATGGAGCTCACTCCCCCTCTTGATCACTATCTGATAAGTATCTCATTCCCTGACTGAAAGGGTCTTGATCCCTATGGAAGGGGGATCACACACTCAGTAAAAACGGGGGCAAGATCCTGGTTTGAAGGGATCTCAATCCCAGGGGAAGTTTCAGGATTTTTTGAATTTTGAATCCAATGTCTTTGACTTTGTGATGATTTTTGGCTTCCTAAAGATTTTGTAGCTAATGACCACCTGTGGTGGTGGTTTGCATCGGCAGATGAAAATTAGGGAGCCAACTTGGAATAACCCAAGTCAGCTTGAACATCAGGTGGTCCCCCCAATCTTAGATGGTCCCAAACTGGGGAATTACCAGGATTGTCCAGAACTAGGTGCTTCTCACTGTAGTCAATCCCCATGTCTTGCCCTACTCGTGTGATTCCCAAGTTCAGTTCTTATTATGGCCCTACAGTCTCAATTTTCTCATATTTTTATGGGACTTTCAACCTGTAGAGTTCTTAAATTGTACAAATTAGTCAAAGTGAGCATGTGTGTAGATAATGCTAAAGAGCGGATTATACATTTTTCAATTTCTTAATCACTTCAAAAAATAATAGACATACATATACATAAATACACACACGCACGAGCACGAGCATGCGCATGCATGCATGCACACACATATAGAAACAGTGCTTCCTTACAGCTCCCATATATAAAAATAGAACATATGTCAAGCTGCTCCTTGAACATGGCTCCTACTCCCATGACTTAGATAACCGTTACTCTCTTGTTGACTCCACGTCGACCGCTTGGATTGTGGATTTCAGAGCATTTGAGCTTATGATAGGTAACCAATCCTTCATTTCTACCTTAGAAAGCCTCTTGAAACTTTCTGTCTTTAGCATATGATTCCTACTCAACAATTCATGCACCTGGGAGTGTTGCTAGTCTTGCCTCATGTCCTTCATGCTAAATTTCTAGCAAACATGTTATTTATAGTACACCAAATCCCCCAAATTGCAAAGTTATCTTCTAGTCTAGTCACCATATATTTGGGGTCTGAGAACTGGAGGAAGAATGGGGAAGGTTTTCCCCCGGCATGGCAACAAATGTGCCTTGAGGGTCGAGTCGGGCTCAAGCTAGGGCCATGAAAGGGCTAGCCTAGGTTCAGCCTGGCCCAACCCTCTTTTTCTTTTCAGAAGGTTTTCCCCTGGCATGACGGCCAGGCTTGGACCTAAAAAAACTAGGGCCTAGGCCACAAATGTTGCCTGAGGGCCGAGTAGGGCTCAAGATAGGTCTAGCCTAGGTTAAAACCGGCCCACCCTCTTTTTTCTTTACTTTACCTTTTGATTTATTTTTCTTTTATCTAGCCCCGCCAAGCCGGAATAGAGCAGGGGCAGGCTTGGGCCAGGGCCTATTTGATCCGTTTGGGCCAAGCTAGGCCTAGGCTGGCCCTACGTGGACCAGGGCAAGGCTAGGGCGAAAGCTAGCCCGTACCAGGACTGGCCTGCTGCGAACCCTTAAGTCTTCTCGTATTACGGTTTGTATTTTAGTTGATTTTGTTTCTAGCCAGTTAAGTACACAATCCTGGAGGGACCCAACTTCCAAGTTTCCTTCCTTAGCATTTAAATAGGTACTCAAATCCTACCACCCCCATCATCTCTAGCCCATAATCTCTCTCTCTCTATCTATCTATGGAAGAGCATATTTCTATAAAATTTCTGAAATCTGAATTGGCTTTCGTTATAGAGATCAACCAGTTGAGAAACAATCCCAATGCCGATAACATCAACAACAAGGGTTTGAAGCTTGAAGTTTGAATTGAAATTCAAACTTGTAGGTCATGATGTAGACAACCCCATCAGACCTCTACTTGAGATAAAATTTTCTTCAGTGTTCCCAAACAAATGGCCTAAACACATCTATATTTGCATCGCTCAAGTTCCTCTTGAAGCAAGGATAGAAATTCATCCTATCCCCTATCCTCTCCATCCAGTCCCAAAGCAACACTTTGGGATCAGAAGCTAAATTTCTCTAACAATAGAGATAGGTATTGAAGGCATCTGCTTCACACCATATTGACCAAAAACTAACTCCGTCCCCATACCCTCACCCAAACTTAATCCTTCTTAAACTCCACTGTGTGCAGCAGATAACTCCATGGCCACATATCCTGCTGTGTCTTCATGGCACTCAAATTACCCACCCATTTCTCCCATAACCATACTTTCCCTCCTGCATTGTTGTCGAGGTTTAGTCCCTGAAGAATGCCAAAACATAGGCAGGTAACCACCTTTCCCCTTAAAGTGATGGTAGTTGTTAATCTCACTGCCTCTCCCTTTGAATACTCTCTAGTTCTCAGCCGTCCGAACTGGGATCTGAAAGGGGGACAGCCAATGGATTGGAACATCTAAATGCGTAACCTATCCAAAAACCGTCAAATGAGGGTAACTGTCCCTTCTAAAAAGAGTAATTGCAAGTCAGCAGTCTTTCTTTAAACTTCTCTATCACTGGCTCCTCTAATTTAAACCCTGTAATACAATGACCATGACTAATGTATAAGAACAAATTGCAGAAGGCAATCCAATGTCACTCTAATAAAAATTTTACAACATCATGGTCTGAGCAACAGCATCTCAATAGCTTATACACCAGCTAAAATAGGAAAGCTGCACAGAGGTTCAACAAATGTTTTCAAACTCAGCCCTGGCCCGAGCCAAGTAACTGAGTCTTGTACATGACAATAAATGCTAAAAATTCAAAAAATTACAATAAAAATAATTAAAACCAGAACAAGGTAAAATAAGTAATAGAAATTACTTGAAGTCCACAAAAGTTCAAAAAAGCATATAAAAGATGGATTATTGAAAATTTTGATTGATGCCTCAAAATATTTCAGAAAAATCAAAGAAAAGGAAAAATAAAAAATTGGAGCATGTAATTAGAAAAGTTCCCCAATCATAAAAAAAATCATATAAAAATGTAATCCTAAATCATATAGTGAAGATTTTGCTAACAAATTCAGTACTTTTAAATAATTTTTAATAGAGGCGATTTGGCCGCTGGAACTCGTGTTGGCCACTTGGACTCAGCCAAGTCCTTGCACACTGGTTTCACCATATAATGAGTACTGAGGAATTTATATCAATGTAGTGAATAAAGGAACTTTTCGTTCGTCATATAAAATAATTAGGCATGAAACTGCTTTTCGGAATGAACAAATATTTAAAGAATTAAAAGAAGTATATATTAGAGGATCAAACAAACATAAGATTTTTTAATGAAGATCATATAGTGAAACATTTTTTCTAACAAATTCAATACTTTTAAATAATTTTTAATAGAGGTGATTTGGCCGCTGGAACTCTTGTTGGCCACTTGGACTCAGCCGAGTCCTTGCACACTGGTTTCAACATACGAGTACTGAGGAATTTATATCGCTGTAGTGAATAAAGGACCTTTTGATTCATGATATACAATAATTATGCATGAGACTGCTTTTCGGAATGAACAAATATTTAAAGAATTAAAAGAAGTATATATTAGACGATCAAACAAGGATAAGATTTTTTAATGAAGATCATATAGTGAAACATTTTTTCTAACAAATTCAGTACTTCTAAATAAATTTTAATAGAGGCGATTGGCCGCTGGAACTCGTGTTGGCCACTTGGACTCAGCCGAGTCCTTGCACACTGGTTTCAACTTACAATGAGTACTGAGGAATTCATATCACTGTAGTGAATAAAGGAACTTTTGATTCGTGATATAAAATAATTATGAAAGAAACGACTTTTCAGAATGAACAAATATTTAAAGAATTAAAAGAAGTATATATTAGAGGATCAAACAAACATAAGATTTTTTAATGAACATCATATAGTAAAAGATATTTTCTAACAAATTCAGTATTTTTAAATAATTTTTAATAGAGACAACATGGCCCTTGGAACTCGTTTTGGCCACTTGGACACAGCCGAGTCCTTGCACACTGGTGTCAACATACAACGAGTACTGAGGAATTTATATCACTGTAGTGATTTAAAGAATTTTTGATTCATGATATAAAATAATTATGCATGAAACTGCTTTTCGGAATATTTCAAGAACTAAAAGAAGTATATATTAGAGGATCAAACAACCAGAAGACCCAGCTTCTAAAAGGTAAAGAATTAACAAGAACGATCAATAGAAATAGTGCAAAATATTGAAGACCACAACTGTTGGGGATCTGAAGTGCAGATTCTGAAAACAGTGGTGATTCAGGGATAAGGACGACGAAACAGCAAGCATCAGCTAAATTGTATCAGAGATTCAAATGTACAATCATACTGGTATAGTAAAGAGATTATAGCACCAGGCGAAGAATCAAATAGTACATCACGAAAATAACAGAGAGCTATTGACATGCAATTCGAGCAATCGTATTGTTTTCACATATGAAGTCGACAACTGATCTACAAAAGTGTGAAATTTTCATAACATGTTTTAAGTTTAGTATGTAACAAGCAGGATTCTAATGAGTTATGATAGGGTAACTACAAGGAACCTTTTCCACCAAAACTAGAGAGAGAGAGAGAGAGAGAGAGATCATGCAGAGGTCAAGAGTGCCAGATACGAGGCATACAAATAAAATACTACAAAATTCATAAGAAAATAATAATAATTATAAAAAAAAGGAAGCTTGCGTACCCAATCTGCAAACTTGTAAGGGGAAAGACGTAGGGATTTGTTGGGCTCTCCATTCTCTTCCTCATCGCTCTCAGCGATTTCTGAACAAAGAACTGTAACATCAAAAACCATGAACATCTCAAACAACACGAAAACACCACCATATCTCCTAAACTCTTAGATCAGAACAGAGGGAAAACCCAAATTTCCATCAAAATAAAGAGAGAGAATTTCGACAACCAACTAGGCAAGAAATCAGATACCTCTAGCTACGTGCACGAGACTCGATACGACGCGCTTCATATCAGAGCTGAGCGCTCAATAAATCTCTTGATACAACAGATGACAGACAGATATTGGGAGAAACGTGCAATGCAGAAGAGGGAAAGAGAGTTATCCAACAGAGAGATGGACGCGTGGTTTGAAGAAGACGAATACACAGAAAGGGAAAAGAGAGAGACGGGGGACACGTAATTTACAGCAGAGGAAGAGAGAGAAAGTTGAGAATTTACAGAAGAGCGAGAAAGTTGAGAATTTACAAAAGCAACAGGAAAAAACAAAGGAAATTAGGAGTTAATTATGGTGTCAGAAATTTAAATTCCCTGCAACAGCGGACCGCATCGTAGGCAAAGAGAGAAGGGGAGAGAGAGAAGACTCCTGTCTCACCGAGCCACTCACTCTCTTACATCACAACGACACCATTATTGGAGATCACTGGTTTAGGGCTCAGCCTGCCAACGTCAACGCACTGTGGGGAAGACACGTCCATGGCCATGTCACAGAGCGTGGATTCTCGGGATCCTTCCTCTTCGTAGATGAAGAGAGAGAAAAGCCTGCAACTTCTGATGAGAGAGAGCGGCATTAAATTGAAATAAATGGAATTCGAATCTAATCCAGAAGAAGGAACCTTCTTTATAAGATGAGAGAGAGAGGAACACGCCAAAGAAAGCGATAGAGAGAGAGAGAGCGGGTGTCAAGAGAGATGTGAAGAGATGGAGAGAGAGCGAGGAAGGGGTAGAGAGAGAGACGGCGGGGTAGAGAGAGAAGGAGACAGGAAAGGGGTAGCGAGAGACGGTATGGGTAGAGAGAGAAAGGAGGACGGGATGTTGGGAACCCGAAAAAAGAGGAGAGAGAAAGAGAGGTGTGGAGTTGCGGTTTTGCCGGGGGGGTGCTTGCGGCCTCTGTGACCGCCAACGCATGCCTTTGGCCCTACGAGCTGGATGGGCGGGTTATTTGACGGCCTAGATTTTTAAAAGTTTTTGATTTGACGTTTAAGATCTTCTCAGGCTTTGGTTTCCGGTATTTGACACGTTTGCTTGTATTTTATACGATGTATACAGGAAATGCGGGGTGGACCGCATTTCTACAGTCAAGTGATCCATATAAAAACAATGGAAACTAACTGTCCAAATGTTTTTCTTATTGAAATTATTATTTCGAGTTTTAAAATTTTATTGATTTTTTTCATATTCATGATCTCATGTTAATGATTACATGTCCTTAATAATTAAAAAAAATTATAAAAAATCCCCAAAGATACTTTTTGTGCAACTTACCTCCAACTAACTTTCTCTCTCACTTTTTTCTAATAAACAAGCTTCTTATGCAAATAACCCCCAACCATCCCAAAAATTAAAGAAAAAGGCAAAACTACCTTTACTGTACCCATTACCCATGCCTCTCTCTGGCATTGTGTAAGTGCGCTCCGGCATTGCGTAAGTGCGCTCCGACAGTATAACACAGCGCTCTGGCACTACGTAAGTACGCTCTGGCAGTGGAGCATTATGAGTTACAGGGCTCCAGCACCATTTAACTGCGCTCAGGCAATGTGATACGGGCAGTGTAACACAGCGCTCCGGCACTATGTAAGTACGCTCCGGTAGTGGAGCATTATAAGTTACAGGGCTCCAGCACTGTTTAACTGTGCTCTGGCAATGTGATACGGGAAGGGCACAATGCTCAGGTACTTCGTAAGTGCGCTCCGGTAGTGTAACACAGCGCTCTGATAGTGAAGCATTCTGAGTCACAAGGCTCCAGCACTATTTAAGTGCGCTCCGACAATGTGCTACGGGAAGAGCATTTTCGTCTAAAAAAATGAACTTTTTCCATTGGGAGGTATTTGCATAAAAAGCTTGTTTTTTTGGAAAAAAGTGAGAGAGAACTAAGTTGAATAAAAAATATATTTTGGGGGGGTTTTTGTAATTTTTTCTAGAAATTAAGTCTTAAAATCCATCTCAAAAATAGATTTATTAAGCCGGACTTGGCTGCATAGAAACCGGATCCATGTATATATAGGGGAAATTGTTTCATGCGGGCTGGACCACATTTCTACATTTGCGGGCTTGGCCGCATAAAAACCAGGTCTTATATATATATATATATATATAGGCGAAGCCCTTCATTTCAATTGTGTGGGAGAATGTTCATACAATAGGCGAACCACAATGAATGAATTTAGGGAAAAGTGCAAAATTTCTATACAACTTCCCCCAACCAAATTTTTCTTTGCAACTTTTATCCAAAACCAAGTTTAATTGCAAATACTCCCAAGGCAAAAAGGTCATAATTTTTTGGACGAAAATTCCTTTTATAATAGTACTGAATTGCAAATAAAAAATATTTGACCGAGGGAATCTATTGTCGGACTGCTCTTCACCTGCTAGAGCTCATCACGAGATTATCGGACCGCAAAAGAAACATAAGCCAAAGTGCCGGATTGAGTACAGAAAGTGTTAGACCACGTCAAGACAGATCAAGCCACAACTGTCAAACTGAGACATAGACGTGCCGAACTATGTGAACAAGTTGTCGGACCCTTTGGTTAGAGTGCCGGATTGTAGGGAATCATGTTGAGAAATGTGACTTTTTTAGTAAAAGGTATTTTTTTTCAAAAAATTATGGCTTTTTAACTTAGGGGGTATTGTCTATAAAACTTAGTTTTGAGGTAAAAGTTGCGAAAGAAAGTTTACTTCGAGGAGATTGTCTAGAAAGTCTACTTTTGACGGGGGTATCTGCAATTTTCCCATGAATTCACGAAATCCTTTGACTTTTAAAACCTATTACTCAGAAATTTGTATAAGCGGTTGTATATTATGAGGCCATTCATTTTTTTGTGTAAAGAAGTCACAATTAGTATTACCCATTAGATGTCAAATTTGATGGTTTAGGATGTGTCACAAAGTTTAAGAAAATATTTTTTGAACTTAGAGTCTAGTCAATAATACACTCCCGACCATCTAATTTGAAATTTGATGAACTAAAGTGATTGTCACCTCTTTGTATTAAAAGTAAATAGTCTATTTATATACTTTCTCTTTATATAAATAATTTTATGTGGTTTGTATAAGGTTGCAACCTTAAACAATCAAATTAAGGTACACATCCAAATTTTATCATAAATATAATTTTGGTGTAAAAATTTATTAGGATGGCTTGAGAATCTATTTTTATCTCTAAATATAAAATCTTAAACTCCCAAAATGGTTTAATTCAAGTAGATCTATAAACACTTGAAAATCTATAAAATTGATGGTCTAGATAATTTGTTGCAAGATACACCAATTTTAAGACTCAAAATACTTTTTTTTTTCTTTTCATATTCATACATCTCTAAATCAAGATTGTCAATTAGAGATAATCTATTCGTAGATGACATAGTTTTGATTGATGAGACCTGAAACGCCATCAACATAAAGTTAGAACTTTGAATGGATGCTCTAGAATCCGAAGGTTTTAAAATTAGTTGGATTAAGACAGATTATATGGAGTGCAAATTTAGTAATAATATGAATAAAGATGAGGAAGTAGTTAAGATTGATGACCATAAAGTACAAGAAAGACCGTACTTTAGATATCGGGTCGATAATCCAAGAAAATGGAAAGATCGAGGAAGATGTCGCACACATAATTAGAGCTGGGTGAGCAAAGTAGAGATTTACACATAATTAGAGCTGGGTGAGCAAAGTAGAGATTTACACCAATGAGGCTGAAGGGCAAGTTCTATAGGATAGCAGTGATACCAACTTTGCTCTATGGAGCGGAATGTTGGGCGAACAAAACATTATACCCATAGAATGAGTGTAGTAGAGATGAGGATGTTGAGATGGATGAGTGACAAGACTAGGAGGGATAGAATTCACAATGAATCTATTTGAGAGAATTTAGGCCTAGCACCAATAGGCGATAAAATGAGAGAGTGTAGACTTAGGTGGGCTAGCCATGTGTGGAGTCGACTAAGTACAACACATGTTAGGAGGTGTGAATTAGTTCAAGTGGAATTACTGAAAAGGGCAATGGGTAGGTCCAAAAGGACATGGTTGGAAGTAGTCCAGAAAGATATGAAGACGTATTGCTTCACTGATGATATGACCTTTAATTGAGCAAAATGGAGAATTAGGAGTCATATAACCAATCCCAATTAATTGGGAAAAGGCTAAAATGATGATGATGATGAAAACAACCTTCTATTTAAGATGCACCTTAATTCTATATTTTAAGGTTGCATCCTTATATAAAATTTTTCCATATTTTAAAATTAAATAATATCTTCAATATTTTATGGATGGAGTTTCTATAAGTCTGCTGACTCATATGGATTTTTTGTCGAAAATTTTAGGAATTCGTCATCTAAACGTGGTAGTACCCCACACCCTAGTCACCATGTTGTAGTTTCCATTCCCACCACTAACACCACTCCACCAACACCTTCAAAAAGCTCTCCTAATTTACTTGAAAAACAGGTAGGTGTCTTCCCCACTGAATTACCCAAAAATAAAAAATAAAAATCATAAATATGAATATTTTTTCTTAACTTCAAAATGTACTCTTTTTAAGGATGTTTTTGGCACTGTTCATATCTAATTTGACCCTGTGCGCTTTACACAATGTCTATCTTAAAGAGTCAGTGGGGTCTTGCACCTGCTGATTCATAGAATATTTTTCCAAATTTTATATTTTAAAAAATAAAATTTTACACAAGATTGCAAGTTGCAACTTTAGACTGTAGATCTACCCAAAAAAAAAAAATTTATTCTGTAGAAATAGGGTATATCTCAAGAATCCAATAGAAAATAGTGTTCCGAATTTGGAGAACCTTTCAATTTATCATCTTGACCTTAACATGGAAAAACAGAAGATTTCAAAGTCTTAAAAATATTTCATTTTGTAGCAAATTATTTGGACTATCTATTTTCAGTATTTTCAAGTGTTTATAGATCTGCTTGATTTGCATCTTTTTGGAGTATTAAATTTCATAAGTAGGATTGAACATGGAAGTTTTAGGCCATTGTAAGGTTTCAGATACCAGATCAACATCTTCTAGCAATATTTTGAGGTGTGCTTTACTTGTATGGTATGAGGTGGGCACCGTGTACAAACCTCACCCTTTATATTTTATGTTTACGTTCCATTTTTTAGGAGCACACTTAATATTTCAATTTTATCTTCTTTTTTTATTATTGTTTTAAGTGAAAAGTATAGAAACCTAAAATTTAAGCTTTAAAATGATGTAGATAAAGAAAGCTAAAATTGAGATATAATTTTTTTTTATAGAAGATCAGAAATTTTATTTATAAAATACTAAAAAGAAATTACATAATCTGAGACCAAAGTCTCAATTAAGGAAGAGCCCCCTTTGGCAAGATAGTCGGCCACAACATTGGCCTCATGATAGACATGAACAAAGGAGAACGTGTAAGATCTAGACAAGTTCCAAATCTGCCGCAAGAAGGAACGATATTCTCAAGCCGATTTAATGGTCCCATTACACCAATTAATAACATTCGACGAGTCCCCTTCCACCACACAGTGCATCCCTACCATTTTGTCCCTAAAAAGTTTTAGTCCATGAAAAAGTGCCATCAATCTAACAAAGTTTGCCGTCTTCTCCCCCAAAGGACACGCAAAAGAGAATACTACAGCTCCATTCCAATCTCTTACTACACCTCCAAAACCAACACGACCCGTGTTACCAAAAGAACTACCATCGAAATTG